CAGAGATAGCGAAATTGGATGCGTCACATGTTAAGACAAATGGTTTGGTAAAATCAGGATATTTGAGTAGAGGGGCAGAAGTTAGACAATTTTTGAGTTGTTCGAAAGCTAATTGGTGTTCATTTTGCCAGTTGAATTGGACATCTTTCTTTAGAAGGTTGGTCAATGGTTTAGCAATTTTAGATAAATTGGGTATAAAACGTCGGTAATAAGATACTAGACCCATGAATGATTTTATGTCTTTCGGGCTTTTAGGTTCTGGAAATTGTTGTACGGCTTTAATTTTTTCTGGATTTGGCTTGACGCCTTTGTCGGTAATGATGTGTCCAAGATAAGATACTTCCTTACGGAGAAATTCGCACTTATCAGGTTGAAGTTTTAGATTGAAATGCCGGAGTCTATCGAATATATTGGAAAGAGATTTAATATGGGATGGAAGATCATAGGAGTAGATGACCACGTCATCTTAGGAGACATAGCATTGTAAACCTTGTAGGCCTGAGAAAGCAGAATTCATCAATCGCTGGAAAGTAGAAGGAGCATTCTTTAAACCAAAAGGCATGCGAGTAAATTCAAAGTGTCCTTGAGGAACGGAGAAGGCTGTTTTGGGAAAATCACGTTCTGACATCTTAATTTGGTGGAACCCAGAAGCGAGATTAAGAGTACTAAAATATTTGCTTTTACCTAATTGGTCTAGGATTTCAGTGATATTTGGAATAGGATAAGAATCGCCTATGGTGATGTCATTGAGTTTGCGATAGTCGATTACGACTCTCCATTTTCGTTGGCCAGAAGCATCTGTTTTCTTTGGGACGACCCATATGGGAGACGACCACGGAGATGTCGAAGGTTTGATTATTCCATCATCAAGCATTTTATCGATTTGTTTTTGGACTTCTTGTTTATGAATTTCGGGAAACCTATAGGATTTTGTATTGATTGGGTCTGAAGAAGTGGTATTTATTTCATGTTCAATGGCTTCGGTATTAGTCAATTTGTCATTAGGAAGATGGAATATATCTGAAAAATCGGAGCAGAGATCGTAAATGGCATCTGTTTCTTCACGATTTAAGTGAGAGACTCGAAGAAGGTTGATTACTTGTTGAGTGCGGTCTAGCACACTCATGGAATGATTTGATTTATCATTAAGACGAGTAGTATGAAAGATCTGGTAACTGTTATCATGTTTTAATGGTGATATTTTTAGTTTTAAATCGGAACTCACTGACAAAGGGGATTTGGAAGTGTTTACTACAGTAATATTTATTCGTTTATTTGATTTGACTTTTACTATACAATTGGCTATTATCAAAGATTCGACAGGGTTTTGGTCTATTATAAGGCCTTCTTTTATTTCAGGGTTTTGAACAGAGCATTCGATAATTGTTTCAGTTCGAGGTGCAATAACATAAATTGGCTCAGTGAATTTAAGGGGCATTGCAATTTTGTTTATCGTTAGACTATCATTGACAAAGTCTATATTGCTAGAGGACTTCGAAAGGATATCGTTACCTATAATACCGTCATATGGAAATTTTAAATGACCTACGAGATGAAATTTATTAGTTAAAGATTTAAATGTGACTGGAATGGTACCTAAGGATATCATGGGATTGTCTTCGTTGCCAAGTCCGGTAAAGGTTACATATTCACTCCAAGTTATATTAGGCATTTTTTCGACTGAGAATTCTTTTATTATGCTTATAGCAGCACCAGTATCAATTAGGAATGTCAAAGGCTCTTTGGAGACTGACGTTTGGACTTTAATAAAAGGTAAGTGCCTTTTTGATGGGTTTGTAGTAATATTATATATTTTTGTTTTTTCTTTTCTAGGAGCAGAGGAAGAAGAAGTTACAGAGTCTATAACGGGATTATCGACGAGGATATAGTAATGGTAGGTCGGAGTTCTGACCTCTTATGATTTTCTTTGTTTTCAGGATACAGTGAGAATTCGGTAGGTCTATGAATCTGGGGCTGGTTACCCGGTTTGTTAGACTGCATGGATACAGAGATAGCATGTCTATGAGTTTGGGGCTGGTTACCCTGTTTATTAGACTGCTTAGATACAATGAAGGCATGTCTATAAGTTTGGGGCTGGTTACCCTGTTTGTTAGACTGCTTGGATACAAAGAAGGCATGTCTATAAGTTTGGGGCTGGTTACCCAGTTTGTTAGACAGCTTGGAGTCAGAGAAGGCATGTCTATAAGTTTGGGGCTGGTTACCCTGTTTGTTAGACAGCTTGGATACAGAGAAGGCATGTCTATAAGTTTGGGGCTGGTTACCCTGTTTGTTAGACAGCGTGTTTGATTCTATAATAGCTGATCTAGAAGTTTGGGGCTGGATACCCTGTTTGTTAGATCGCGAGTTTAATTGTATAATGGCTGGTCTAGAAGTTTGGGGCTGGATACCCTGTTTGTTAGATCGCGAATTTGAATTTATAATGGCTGATCTAGAAGTTTGGGGCTGGATACCCTGTTTGTTAGATCGCGGATTTGATTCTATAATGGCTGATCTAGAAGTTTGGGGCTGGATACCCTGTTTGTTAGATCGCGAATTTGAATTTATCGGATTCGGTGATTGTGATGTGGTATCGAGTTTTGTTTTCTTCTCTCCCGCACGATACCAGACGAGAGAGCCATTTAGTTTAAATTGTTGTTATCGGTTTCATCGATACCTTCGTCATCATGAGAATTTACGGCATGGATAGGATGACGCTTCTGAAAATGCGTATTAGGATTTTCACGAATAGGTTGGTTAAATTGAGAGAACCGCCTATTATTATATTCGCGTTTACGACAATTCTCGATATTGTTTTGATGTATCAGGAAGTTGTTGTCAATATATATTGAATAGAAACTCAGTTGACTTTTATTAATCCTTGTATTTCACTATAGGCAAACCATTTAACTCGCGGGACGCTTGCGGGGTAAGAGGTAGGTGGGCGCGGGTATCGGTACACACTAATGACTTGTTTCGAGATAAATCCCGAGATATCTTACTCGGATACAAAATAAATAATAAACTTTGTCATTTCATTTCACTTACATATAAAATAAATGTAAATGTTTTTGGAACATATTTACTTATTTTGGAACATATTTATTTTAATATTTATATTATTTATGCAATATATATTTTTTTCTTTGATATTAATCCAAGTTGTTCGATTATCACCGGCTTCCCTTTACGAATACATTAGCGTAGTCTTATATTAGTAAGATGGTAAGTAGATTAGGAGGTATGGCTCAGTTCCATTGCCTTCCCAATATCAGGTAAAAAAAAAACAATCTCTGGTGTTTGTTTGGTGGTGGGACGGGATGACATAATAAAAAAATAAACAATATTTTACACTTATAATAAGAATTTATATCAATCAGAATTAAGTATATATCTATTTTACAGGTTTTCTTCTTCACTGATGTCCATGACACTTGAATCATCTTTTGTTTCTTCTTCTGTCCAGTTGGACGAATCCGAGTCATCTTGTAAATTGATTATTATTTGGTCCATAGCATTATCGAGTAGTCCAGTTCGTTTCTTGCCAGTTGACCTTTGATATCCCCCCAAACCAACTCAATAGGATTTAAGTCTGTGTGGTAGGGGGGAAGTCTTAATACTTCGTGACCCGCAGCTTTGAGCAATTCATCAATCTTATAAACATTTTCAGAACCATTCTGCTTAATCAGCTTAAGCAGGTCACATTTTCTTAAGGAATTATCAAATTCGACATTATGTCTTTGCAGCCAGGCCTGCATGTTAGCCTTTGTGTTGGTCATCGTTGGCTTTTTATCTTCTAGCACTGAGTGATAGGCAGCATTATTCATAACGATTACAGATCTTGGAGGTAAATTTGGCAATAATTTCTCTTTGGTCCATTTATTAAAATTTACAAAATTCACATCATTATGATAATCTCCGGTTTTACTTTTCGATTTAAAAATTAATAGAGCTCCTTCTACAAAACCAGCTTGGCCACCTGCATGTACAATAATTAATCTCGGCCCTTTGCCAATATGTGACAGCACTCCACGTTCTTTTGCAGATTGCCAACACGATGGAACATTTAAAGACGCATTTACGTATGTCTCATCAAGATAAACAATAGATCTCTTGTCTCGTCGATGTTTTTTTATCACGTTTAGATATCTCCATCTCCAAGAAATAATATTTGGTTGCTCAACAAGCAGCTTTCTTTTTGACTGACATTTTTTAAATTTAAAACCAAGTTTATGCAGTAACTGTCTCAAATATTCTCGACCACAGTTTAAAATTCCTTCTTCTTTAAGTTTAGCATTTAGTGTTTTCAATGTGGGTACCTTTTTGTATATAGTATAAAATTGAGTTATTTTTCGTCTGATGACACCTTCAGTAAAATTATCTATTTCAATTCTTTTAGTTCGGTTCTGTTTTTTACTTCTTGGGGATTTAAATACTACACTTCTCTGGTCGCGTTTCAGATCATTTCCTTCTTTGATGATTTTACTCACAGTAGACAGTGATATTTGCGTTGCTTGGGCGACGATTTTGTGCAGGTTTACATCTTGTAAAAATTCCGTGGAAGTTTGATCTTGTTTTCTTTGTTGAAAGAAAGAATAAACATTGTATACTAATTGTTTAGCTTGCTTGTTAATTTTTTTAGCAAAAATTTTGGACCGTCCTTCAGCGTTCATCTTGGAAAATATCTCAGGAAAAATAACCTCGTATAGATCTTGTGCCGAGCGTCCGTAACCAAAAAGCCGACTGCACGCCGCGAGAGCCGCTAGCGTACTGAGAAACGTCACTTGTGCTCCCTGCCGCGCGCGCGCGCCTTCACCTCCGAAACGTCTGTGAGTTCCTCCGCGCCCACCTACCTATAGCCCCGCAGGCGTCCCGCGAGTTAAATGGTTTGCCTATAACTGTGGAAATTGCGGAATAAGTAATCTAAATACATATATTTAAACAGATATTTAATTTATTAATCCATCAGTTATTTATTTACGTATTATTAAGTATTTTAAAAATAAGATCCTCTTTAAAAACAACATATATATTTCCTATTTTATAGTTAACTATACTTTTTTAATATTTGTGTTTGTAAATCCCATGGGGGGATATTTGTCTAATATTGGTGCCATAGTTGAAGGGTAGAAGGCCATAAATTTAAATCTTTCACCCATATTTTTTGCGTCTACAAGCATTCTATACGAATTTTTAAGCTTTTCTTTTTCTTCCTCTGTTTTGGCATGATCAATTAGTACCTGTAATATAACAGAACATAAGCAAAAAAGAATAAGAACAAATTAGAATGATATGAATAGTTAAAATAAAATTTCAAGAAGTTAAAGATCAACTTCACTTTTAATCTGGCATCTGCTTGTAGCCACTCCAAAAAGTCTTTTTGTGTCACTGGGCCCACCACAATAGCATAGTTCTCATGTCCAGGAGTTCTAGAAGCTGCTATCTTAAGTTGTGCAAAATCCACATCAGCAGTCAAATCACTTTCCCCAGGATTTTCTAAGGGGTTAACCACTTTGTGTTTACGAAACGCCTAAAACAAATAATACAAAATATTAATATAGTAGATCAGTTTATTTTTCTAATTACCCAACATATGATTCTTGATTAAGTTAATATCTTTGGTTTGGACCAGGTTCTTTCCTTATGACCTTTGTTAATTTGTATACCAACAAACCTTAATTAAGAGAGATTTTTTGTACATTACATAGTAATGTTGTTATAATACATTGTAAATAACTTTTTAATAAATAAAACAAGATTTTACACTAGTGGCAGATTTAGACTGTTTAAGATCATGATTTAATTATTAAATCATGACAAAATATATTTGAATGATAGTTTTTTAGAGGATTTCTACCAAGCACCTTATATTTATTGAGTCCTCTATAATCATCATAATCATCAGCCCTTTTACGTCCCCACTGCAGGGGCTCAGGCCTTCCTTATGGATGGTTAAAGAGGCTGGGCTATGACCCTCCACCCTGGCCCAATGCGGATTGGAGGGTCCTCTATATTGATGTACTACTAAGTACATGGAAGCAATCCATGAAAGTTTAAAACAAAATATTCTTACTCTAAATGTGTCTTCTTTCTCACCCTCATGGCCATAGTCAGCTATTAAAGCAAGCCCACCGAACTTATCTACTCTCTCAGCCAACTGTCTAGCTAATCCAAGACCTCTGGCACTGACTTCAATTTCAGTTCTGTCACCAGTATCTAAGGGGGGCCTTAGCAGCATTTTCACTGCCTGTGTTTCTTTAGCTGAAATTCTATAATAAAGCTTTTCTTCTTTGTCTATATCAATGAGTAGTTCACGCCATCCATCTTCCTTTTTCTGTTGAACATTTAGAGTTGATAACAAGCATTTAAACATTCAACAAAGAGGTTATAATTACATTATAATATGTCTCACCTCAAACTTATGTATTGGGAGTACATCGAAAAACTCATGAGCTATATACCATGAGAAATCACAGGGCACTTTTTTCAAATCATTGTACCAATAAACTTTTGTTCCATTTAAAGTTTCACCCTAAAACAAACTTCTTTTATGTAAATAAAAAACAATAAAAAAATATTATAAAATTATTATATTAATTATTATAAGTTCCAAATTACCTCATAATTATGTGGAGAATCGAGATCCATAGCCCTATGTGAAATACATAATCGACTAGCTTGAACACCTTGCATAGTTGATGAGATTTCAACTAAATGAAGACTTAGGTCATTGGGCTGATAACCAAGACGATTCAAAACCTTAAAAAGAAAACTATTTAATAACAATGTATTGTAGTTTATAAAGTCAATTGAAACATTGGGTTTAGAACTTCAAAATAGCAAAACAATTATAAATTTACAAATGAACATAATACCCTGAGAAAATCAACCATTAGAGTTCCTTTTCCTGGACCCAGTTCAACAATATTTAGTGGCTTTCCAGGACACATTTTTTGAGTTTCAGCATAAAACCAAATGGCAACGATTTCACCAAACAACTGGCTGATTTCAGGAGAAGTAATGAAGTCTCCCGATGTCCCTATTACTTCTTTCTTCATATAATAACCTTCAGTAGGATTAGTAGCTACTATATGCATGTATTCCGCTACCGTTATGGGTCCGTTTAACCGAATTTTTTCTTTTATTATCTCCAAAAGGCTAGGAGCTGAACCTGGCATCGGCATTTTCAAAGTTTTTGGATCCGGTCTTTTTATAACTTTGTAGCTGGATGTTCGACATGATATGGAAGGAAGTGTAACCTTATTGCATAAACGTAAGGTATTGCGATAGAACATCTCATTAATTATTTTAATTCTACAAACAAAATTCGGATATCGTCTCTGTGTCCAAGTATATTTTTATTGGTACACTATCTTTATCATTAATTTTAACTTTGAGTCTTAGTAGAAACTGACTCTATGTCACAAAACACATTTACTCTCTATGTCACATGCATGACAGACGTAGGGATGCAAGGATATAAGGAAAAATCCTATATAAATTCACATATCAACACTTATAATATCGATATAGAAAACCAACATATCGAATACTAATATCAAATGAAATCCTAAGAATAAATGCGTATAAGTTGTCCAAATGAGGAAGTATTTAAAAAAAACGAAAGCACTAACAAAAACCACCTCCACTAGATGGCGACTCAAGCAAAAGTTGATTTTTGCAGGAAATCCTTTTAACTAACATATTAAAAAAATAAAATTTGAAAAGTTCAAAACTTAGATATCAATACAAATACGAAAAAGTACAAATAGAATTATGAGTTGTTTATTGAGTTTTGAAAACTAATTTACTTTTAAACATGAAAGAAAACCGGAAGGGTTGTCATGGAGAAATCAAGAACGTACCGTAGCGACATCTAGTTTGATTTCGGGATCTAATGTTTTTTTTTAATACTTCCTCATTTGAATAATGAATAGATTTAAGTATATATTATAAAGAAGTTACCACAAACCCAGACCGAACACATCATAAAAATTCCACTTTCATTGACCCCACTGGAAATCAAACTCGAGACCTCAGAGATGGCCATGACGACATTTTGAAACTGGTTAGCGGACCACTCTCCTTCGGAAGTCATCAAATATAATACGATTAGGGAACGAACTTCATAAAAAAAAAACATATAAAATGAAGTGTATTGAGCGCTACATGTTTTTTACTGGAATGCAGTTTTTACTTTGAATATGGACAGTTTAATTACTTTTAATATTGTGTATATTCTGCAATTTGACATAATAATTCCATTTCGATTTTGAGGTTAGTCATTTGTATTTACTTATTAAAATACTGGAAAATAAATTGATTAAAAGACCTAATAACTGTCAAACTTGACAAGCTATTGTCAAAGATTTAACAGAATCCATTAATTAAAAAGAAGAAGAAGAATAATAGCGTTGTATTACTCACTCTTTTTTAATGAGGATGAGTGAATACCTCATTTTCCTTCGTGAGGGGCTCGCGAGTTACCCCTGATTTGAGGTGAGGATAGGTAATGTTATAGTAGCAGTGAATGAGTACGTAGCGAGGCGCGCGCAATATTACCGTTTGGTACAAAATGAGGGTGGGAGTCGGTAATGCTAAACAAAACATATTTTGTCTTTAGATTCTAAGAAATAAACTTTATTAGATTATTATTTAACAAAATGATCACAACACGCAGCTTATTTGCAATAGTTTCAAATGTTCCATTTTTCATCAAATCGATCAATCATTTATATTTCGAATCATATAAATATATTTCTAAATAAAACCGATACATTTTTATTAACTTTGATTTTTATTTAGACTAATTAATATCATTTATCTATAAAATTTTAAATACGCATTTTCGAAGAAACACATAAACATACCTGAATCGTTCCAAGAAACTCCTAAAACTTAACCCATTCCCTCAATCTTGAATATATTAAGTATCGAGTCGCCTTTTCATTCGAAACAACTCGCCATTTAGCTCCTCACTCAAAAAGTGAGGAGCTTAATGAGGTGGTTCAAAATTGAAAATCTCATCAAGGCTCATCACTAAAGAATAACTGAAAAGTTTGTTAGCGATAGCGGACTCTCAACGAGAGTTATTTCATGAGAGGACCGAAATTGTTAAAATCGTAGTTGGTTATCATAGTGATAAGTAACTGTATAAACTGTATCTTTAACATGCTTGATGAGGCACGTTACACCCTTGGTCCCGGCTGCATTTGCAGTCGTTTACACGCACCAATTGACTAACGTGGTGCGTAATGGCCCATTCTTCCTTTTCTGTTCCATCTATAGGGAAGGTTTGAACCCCACCAGAGGGGGCATTAATATGCTGGTGATGATAAAATAACTGTATCAGTGATTACATCTTTAGTTTTATAACATTATATGAATGAAATGAAAATATCTTTATTCAAATAGGTAGTATATCTTTATTCAGTCGTATACACGCACCAATTGACCAACGTGGTGCGTAATGGCCCATTCTTCCTTTTCTGTTCCATCTATAGGGAAGGTTTGAACCCCACCAGAGGGGGCATTAATATGCTGGTGATGATAAAATAACTGTATCAGTGATTACATCTTTTGTTTTATAACATTATATGAATGAAATGAACATATCGCACACCTAGATCTAAACTAAGACAACTCAAAAAGCTAATTTGGAGGTTTGACAATACATTTGTTTACGTGGCAGGAACGCGACCACTGTTGATTCCGCAAAAGAAAGCTAAAGTTATCTAGCGGTTCATCCCCGAACCTTTATTGAATCTGTTATGTTGGACAGATGCGTATGATCACCGAGTATTTGAATATTGTACTAAGTCAAAACTCACTTAAATTTTTGAGTTGTCTCAGTTTAGATCTAGGTGTGCGATATCTTTATTCAAGTAGGCTATTACAAGCACTTTTGAATCGTCCAAAAAAAAATTTTTTTCCCCCTACCACTTGTTCAGGACATCTTTTAACCGACAAGAAGAACAAGCGAAAGAAACTTACCAGCTTTTTATCATAAGTAATGACATTTACATAAATCATGTCATTACCAAAATAATATGTATTATCACAATAATAAATACAACTTTCAAAGTCTGTAGGACATAGGTTGAACATATAATTAGTCTTTATAGAACAAAGCGAAGGCTATCAATTCCATGCATTGCGATCCTTAAAATAATCATCAACTTTATACATAGCCTTTACTCATAAGTATATTCTTTACATGAATTTGAAATTTATTTATGGGTAGGTCAATTACATTTTGTGGAACTTTATTGAACATAGCAACACATTTACCCAGAAATGATCCTTTGGTTTTTTGAAGTCTGTAGCTTGGAACGGCAAGTTTATTTTTATTTCTTGTGTTAAGATTATGAACACTACTTTTTTTTGTGAAGGAATCGTAATGTTTTCTTGTGTACATAATATTCTCATAGATGTATTGAGAGGCAACAGTCAGAATATTTAAATCTTTAAATATTTCTCTGAGAGATTCCCTAGACCGTAAATTATATATAGCACGGACAGCTCTCTTTTGTAGAATAAAATATCCTGAATGCTAGCCGCAGAACCCCACAACAATATACCATATGTCATTACACTATGAAAATAACTAAAAAATACCAATCTTGCCGTTTCAACATTTTTCAAGAGTCTAATTTTCTTAACAGCAAAAGCTGCAGAACTCAGTCTACTTGACAAGCTATCGATATGAGGATCTCATTGCAGTCGAGAATCTAATGTAATACCAAGGAACTTTGTCGATTCTACTAACTCAACTTTTTCACTATTTACATTTATAAGTGTACTGACATGCCTCACATTAGGTAATGCAAACTTTATGCATTTCGTTTTATTTGAATTGAGCTTTAAATTATTATTATCAAACCACTGTAGAACATTGTCGAGAGCTTTATTTACATCGTGAAAACAATTATTACCCCTCTCAACTTTAAACAGTAAAGAGGTGTAATCTGCAAATAATACTGTCTCGCACAAATTCTTCGTAAAGTGAGGAAGATCATTAATATAAATTAGAAAAAGCAATGGTCCTAATACCGATCCCTGAGGTACGCCCATAGTAACTGGTGCCCCTGCAGATTTTGCTTCATTAATAACTATTTTTTGAATTCTAGCAGAAAGATATGATTTTATTAGATTAAGTGAATTTTTCGTCACACCATAATGCTCTAATTTCCCCAACAGTGTTTCATGACTAACGCAGTCGAATGCTTTTGATAGATCGCAAAAAATGCCAATAGCATCTTGTTTATTCTCCCAAGCATCATAGATATGCCTCAGAAGTGCAATTCCAGCGTCTGTGGTACATTTACCTCTGCTAAAGCCAAACTGATTTTGGTGAAGTAATTTATTTAATGAAAAGTGTGCAAGCAGTTGATTGTAAATAATTTTCTCAAATACTTTACTTAACGCTGGTAGTATAGAAATTGGTCTGAAATTACTGGGATCAGACTTGTCGCCTGCCTTGAAAAGTGGGATTATTTTGCCATATTTCATTAAATCAGGAAAAGTTCCTTCATCAATGCACTTATTAAAAATAAAAGTTAATTGAGGCGCTATAGATGGTATAATAGATTTGATAACATAAGTTGAAACGCCCCAAAGATCTTCGGTTTTTTTGACATTAATAGAATTAAATGTTTTAATAATTGAGCAGACGTTAACATGTCTAAAATAAAATTCAGTATTGCACTTTTAAACAACTGATTCTAGATGCGTAACCGCAAGTTTAGAACATGAACTAAGATTTCTAGTGATTTCTATTGGTGTCTTAGAAAAGAATTTCTCAAATATATCGGCAACCGCTTCATCTGTTTTAATAATTTTATTGTCAACCTGTAATGAGTATGTGCGCATATTACTTTTATTTTTACCCGTTTCTTGATTTATGATAGTCCAGGTTGTTTTTATTTTATTTTCTGAATTGTAAATTTTTTCAGGTATATATTTTGCTTTTGCTGAAACACATACTTTCCTAAAAATTTTCGAATAATTTCTGACATATTCAATAAACTTTGGATCGATCGAGGTACACTTTAGCTCATACAAATCATACAGCCTATTTCGACTTTTGTAGATGTCAGGTGTAGCCTAATCACTAAATTTCTTTTTTTGGTTAGCAAAGTTAATTGTTTTGAGTTTAAATGTTTTATCAAATTCTCCCTTTATCAAGTTAAAGAAATTATTATAGACATCATTTATATTTTCCAAATTACTAGTTGTCAACTTAGTCTGATTTGCAGAAACACTGTTTTTAAATTTTTCTAAATTACTTTTGGTAATAGGTCTACAAATTATATTGCATTTAGTAGAAACATGATGGTGCTCGAAAGTTGCTAGAACTCCGCTATGGTCAGATTGAATACAATTTACTATCGATTTTTTGAACACCTTACATTTACAAAAAATATTATCTAAGCAAGTAGCAGATGTGGGTGTAATGCGGGTAGGTTCATTAAAAATATTTTCTAAATTAAAACATTTAAACAAGTTCAAAAATCTACTTGATTTAGCACATTTTATTAAAATATCTATATTAAAATCACCACATATCACTACTATAAATGCATCCTCCATAACAAATTCAAATTGACAGTAGTCCCCATCAGGTGGTCTATATACACATATAATAACATTCTGTTCAAGTTCCACACATGACAATTCAATATGTCGCTCAATTGAGAGGGATACTATATCTTTACGTTCTTTACATTTTAAATAATTATTTATTATTATTAAAGACCCCCCTCGTATGGCATTTATCCTACAGAATGAACTTATAATTTTATAATATATATAATTTTTAAAACTCGTAATTAACTCATAATTTTTGAGCCAGTGCTCTGTAATACATATTATATCAATATTCATACTATTTAAACAAATTTCTAATTCTAGATCTTTTCCAGAAAAGCTTTGTATATTTTGGTGAACAATAGTTAAGTAGATAGACTTTTCCTTGGTCATCTCATTGCTAGAGATTTTCTCTATTGTCTTATTAAACAATTTAAATTGTCAAAATTTAGTTTTGGAACATATTCCAAAGTCTGTTTGTTTAAGTCAAAATCATTCTGCTCAATAAAAACAGTAGAGATAGCCAAATTATTGGCTAAATAAATAATAAATATTGTAGATTTGCAATTGTGCAATAAAACATAAGGGATGCCGGATGCGTAAGCTGCGGAATCTCATAGGGAAGTACACTTCTTGGTGTATGATGAATGACCAATTGATAACAAATGATAATTTTAATATTTCTGTATTTGATGTTATGCTTACAATTTATTATAAAAAATACTTTCATAATGTATCATACAATGACAACTATTAACATTAGTGAATGAAAATCTTTGGTGTACTCAAAATAGGAATGAAAAGAAATCCCAGATAATTAAATTCCTTAAAAATAAATCGCCTTAATAATACTATATCATCAAACAGATATCGGAAATGTAATTATATTTAAGACTGGGCACTTTTCACTGTAGGGTAGCTATCTGTTTATATTACAGTGATGAATATCAAATGGTTAGGAACCACTAAGTTACAAAGATTGTAAAATAAACTATAAAGTTTGTTGAAACAATTTTTGAAAGACTCTTGTTAGATATTTTTTAGTCTTTCATGCATTTTTTGTCGGTCAGAAATTAAGCCGTTCTTGTCAAGGTGATCGTACAATAATGTAAGATATTCTTTGGAGTGATAAAAATAATGCAGAACGTGCGGTGAACGGTCCCAGCATTTCCAGGTGCACTGCAATAAAATAAGTAAAAACATATGAATAAAAATACCAAATAATAATTTATCTATGTTATTTAATAAATAACACAGTTTATATTTTAATATTTATGAATATTTTCGTGTTTACTTTTATGTGAATAAACTGCAGGTTTTAGATTATACTTATAATCTAAAAGTACCTATATTGGCAAAAAACTATCATCGACCTCCGTGTACAGTAGGTATGTATATCATAAATAGCCACATGTTTATAGCCATATTTATAATATGAATAGGTTAATATAATAACAGAACTACAAAATTATGTTGTGATTTTTTAAGGATTGAAATTTAATTTAAAAGGTATCTTAAAATATGTATTTTTTAAAATACATTTGTAATAACGTACGTACTTATTTCGATTTAGAATACTTATAATTTTGAATGCCTTATAGTTTATTTAAATTTTATTAAGTATTTTTGTTGGCAGGAAATTACTTACATAATGAGGTGCAAACTTTTGTCGCATGATAGGTAGTACGGGAAGCTGGTGGGAGTAATACCAGGACAATTTTAAGCGTGGTAAATTCTAAGGAATAATTGGGAAAATGCGTCATGTCAATGGAGGTAAAAATATCTCTATATTGCAAACTTTACAAAATCTCTATTATGTTTACCAATGTTTAATGCTCCATGCAAGAGAATATTCTTTCAAATTAACTTTAATAAAATTGGCTGTGGCATATTGGGAAAGCGCCGCGTACCGCGAACGTTGTACAGCAACTTTCGCAAGGGTCATTCACAGGATGGATAACCAAAAAAATTTTTATGTCGTGCTTCGGAAGGCACGTTAAGCCGTTGGTCCCGGCTATTAATAAGCTCCAATCCGCATTAGACCAGCCTGGAAGGTTCAATAAACTATCCTCTTTAACGATTCTTAAGGAAGGCCTGAGCCCCTCCAATGGGGACGTAATAGGCTGATGATGATGAAGTTAAATAAAACCAAAAAGGAGGAACAGGTTTCTGAACAAACATATATCCTCATTACTTTTAAAAATAGAAAGCATAAAGAAACGCAGAAACTGTGTCTCTTTAAAACTAACCCAAGAAATGGTTTAAAAATGTCCTTAAAATCAATAAACAATGAAAAGAAACAAAATAAAGAGTATGAAACAAATATAATACATAAATTAAATAATTGAAACTAAATAACTAAATAAATAATTAAAACATGACGTTCAATGGATTTCTATGAAAATCGTTGCTCGCATAAACATGGTGGCATATTTTTGGTACCTTTTGGAGACGGGTCTGGCAGATTTTGGCAGATTTCTATGTAGTGTCGTGCAGATTTAACATTTTTGAAATGGTCACCCTGTTTTAGGAGCATTATTGTTCGTGACGCGATGGCGAGAAGACGTATATCCGGTGCAGTGTGAAAGTGTCGCTATGTCGCTATGTTTTATTACATGTATAGTTTTTATGGCTCATTTACTGGTAGATGGGCCCACATATGGAGTGCAGACGGTTAAATAGAGTGTATACGTATCCGCGAAGCGATCTTCAGTCCGCCGTTGACAAACTTTACTTTAATCGCATGTTTATACCAAACATGTTACCTTATATATTTGTAACGTTTATAGAACAACATCAAACACATTTTACTTGAACGGTTTTTTGAATACAGAACGTTGCACATCACTCGACAGTTGAATGTGGTGTGGTGAACACCCAAAACACGAGGTGTGGTTTTTACTCAATGTTGTTTGCCCGATCAAGCATAACCTTATTGAATACGGAACTGATCAAAGTTCGTAAGAAACTAATCATAGAATGAATTTTTATATCACCTGGATCCCATCCTTCACCCAGCAGTCGTAAACATCACGGTTGCTACGCTCTGCGCCCACTGGATCGTTTTTAGACAACAGGAATAATGCAGGAGCACGACTGGCTGGATGATGGAACATTTCAGAAGAGGCCAAGTAGTGTACTGTAGCGGCTTTGTGAAACAACTTCAGATGAAACCTGATCAAGAAATTATAATTTTACCTCTCATAAATTCTATGTATACCACTAGACAAACTGTGCGGTACTGAAAAATACTGTGCCAATCTTTTGGGTATGTTTGTCCAACAATTGGTATTGCCGTCTCGTTTGTTCTTTACTGGCTTTTCATTATCAATTTCAAATTTGAACAGCTTTTCAATTAGTGTAAATAAATCTTCATAATACTAAGCCAAGTAATTTACAAAATATCCCTTCCTCCTTTCTTTCATTAATCCTTTCAATGATACTGGCTACCATCATTACGCCGTGAATTGACTCTTGTTGCGGTATTATTATAAGATAACGCAATACAATTAGAATTTCATGTCTACTGACAATCTATGCTATATGCTCATTATTAATGTTGAATCTTACTTGGTGTATGCTCTAAGAGCATTTTGCATGACCATGTTCTTAGGAAACACCGCGGACGGGAAGCCTACTGGAATCTCCGTAATATCCGCCGCAGAGTCCCACACTTGTGATTTCATGTTGTCTAGCACGGGTTGAAATCTAAAATAATAAAGGTCATACCTCCTATTTATCATCATCAGTTTATTAATAGGATAACAAGTAGTAGGGCATCGCCTTTCCTTAAAGAGTCGCACAGGAGAATAGACCATTGTTCGATTTAGAATGTGGCGGTTTATTTAATTTGAATAGAGGGTAGTTTACGCACTTGCAAACATCTCAAACCTACGCATCTCCCATCCTTATCACACATGTGTATATAAACTATAGCCATCTTACCTCAATGACGAGTCACAACAGCATCTATTCATGTAAAGACCTACGCGCCGGACGTTGAGTTTTCAATTCGTTTCTTTTTGTTTGCGATTGCTTATAAATTTTATAAAATTATAATGTTCAAAACCTGAGCAAAGTGTGCTTGTGCTGCTGCTGACGAGAGACTAAGAAGAAGGGGAATCAAGGCACGTACGCATGTTTCAATCACTTTTTCTGTTCTACGGCCTTCTTCATTCAAATTATAAGATGTTTGCATGGTACATTTTATAATTGTTTTACATAAATATTGCGTATTAAATTTTCTTTTTTGCTAATATTTATTCTATCTCTGCCCAAGGAATGCTGGTATAGTCGCCAGCAACAATAATCTTCCACGCGGTTCCATCTCGTATAGGTGGTTGTTAACGACTGCATTTGGGGCCGGGACGAATAGCTTAAGATACCTTTCGAAGTGATATCATTATTGTTTCTACGAGCCTGCCGTTTTATTTAAACATATACATACAGCAGTAAATAGAGAATTGTATCAACCAAACCCTTGGAAAAGTTATGAACTATTGAAGAAATACTTACTTGTCCTTATTTCTCATAGCATATATTAGACCCTCGCCCCACACGTACGCGCCAACAGAAAACCCATGAAGAGCCAATGGTGTATGTCCATTTTCTGCCAGGAAATTCATCAAGTCCTTGCCAACTAACTAGAAAAAGTAGATTTTGTTAAGAGTTACGAAGAACAGTGAATTGGTTATTATCAACATTTATTTTTTATTTTATGTCTTCTATACATATTCACTAACACTGGATAAAATCGTCTTACGTAGTAAATGGATGACACCAAATAGATAAAATGATTGCAGCATTGAACTTCAAATGACATAAATAATGTACTCCCTAACAAGGTCTTAGGTTACACATACCTGCGATCCTTTAGTGGGCCACATTAATTGCCACGGTGAGCAGTACACTGAGATAACGTCAAAACCCTGCTCCAGATATATGTTAGCATACTTCATGATGTGATTTGGTCGCGCCAACATCCAGTTCATAATGATGCATAAGGGTTTCTTCGCTTTCTTATCTAGCCTGAAAAAATGAAGAAATGGGTACAATTAACGATACATGACATTATCAAAATTTTATTGTATTCACATTAGAAAAATATTAATTAAAAAGTTGATTTTATACAACTCACCTCATACTTTTAGGATCGACTTTGAGTTTGATGTCATCATTGGTAATGTATCGCAAATTCTTGGTGAGTACTTGCATATGGGCGTTTCGGTTCAAGACATGCAAATGCGTTAGAGCGTTTGCTTTCACACAAAATATGACAGGACCTCGTGATATCTGAACACAATGAAAGTTATAACCATATTTTATTATAATGATTTTAGCACCCCCCTGACGCTGGGGCCCGAGGAAAATTCATCACTTGCCCCCTCCTAGATTCGGACCTGTTTTTTCGACAGCGTCTTTGTCCTTGTCACTGTTGGTCCCATTATACATGAATGGGATTCCCCTTTCCTTAATCTGACGTTACACATATTACTCGAAGAACGTAGTTCCACAAAAATTCAGTTTAATATAAATGGAGTACTTTGCATGATTTTTTTTGGCTCGTCGTTTAATCAAGTTTAAAATCGAAAGAAAAAAAAACACATTTATTGTATAGTATTAAATATATATTATGTTCTGTTTATTTTTTGTATTTCTTGTTATAGCGGTAACACAAATATATCATCTGTGACATTCTTAACTGTCTATCTATCACGGTTCATGAGATACAGCAAAAAAATCACGTTTGTTGAATGGAAGCCCCCTTAAATATTTACTATTCTATTTTTAATAGACTTCAAAATCATAAAGGAGGGCAATATATGTTCGACGGCAATGTATGTTTTTTTATGTGTTGACCGATTTTAAAAATTCTTTTTTTATTCGATAACTTGATGGATCGAGATGGTCTTATTTAAATTTTATTGAAATGGAATAATTAGTTTTTCTTTTATAACAAAACAAAATACGCTTTCTAACAGATATCACCTAAATATTAAGATGATATGCCATGACATGGCCCATTTTAGCTAAAAAACAAAAGATTGTTTATTTAGAATGAGAAAGAAAAAAAGAAAGCACTAAAAAGCACCTCACTAGATAGCGACTCTACCAAAAGTTGTTTTTTGCAGGAAACGAATGGACCAAAGATAGTCATTTCCGTTTCTTTTAACTAACATATTAAAAAACTGAAATTTGCAAAAGTTTGAAACTAAATATCAATACAAATACGAGAAAATATAAATAGAATATGAGTTGTTTACTGCGTTTTGAAAACTAATTTACTTTTAAACATGAAAGAAAACCGGAAGGGTTGTCATGGAGAAATCAAGAACGTACCGTAGCGACATTTAGTTAGATTTCGGGTTTTTTTTTTTAATACTTCCTCATTCAAATTTTACGATGTTATAAGTCCTGTTGTTACATGTCACATGTTATATTAAAAAATAAAGTTTTACTAAAAAAAAATGAAATAAAAACTTTTTTTTTAAAGTAGAACCAAAAACCAATTTAATTATTTTTAGTTGTCATGTTAGAAATTTTTAACCAGCCTCAAAAAAAGGGAAGGGTTCGTCTACATAAATTTTGGCAGATTTAGATACCTACATATGTATTATTATTTATTATAAAACAGATTTAAATATTAAAAAATAAAACATCACTTTAAATATAAAGGTACTTACACATAAGATATGGTGACTATGGGAATAGCCCATTTTCCTTGGTAAGATTTTGAATGGACCCATTTTTATAACTTAATAATCACCACCCACCTATAATCACAAATACATATTAAAATGTATGAATAACTCCATTCTACATTAATCTATAACAGAATAACATTTATGCCACTTAGGTATTTTGTTTTATTGACTTCAATGTATAGATAGGTAGAATAATCACCAAACCTTTTATAACCTCATAAGAAATGTGTAAACAACTCACGCAAACGTTGTTTTTAGATAAAAACAAAATTACGGCACATAAATTTACGGCACATAAATTTACGGCACATAAGCATTTGTATTTAGTCTCTTCACAACACACCAATTTCACATAATAACTAAGTGAAAAAAAAATGTTTAAGGACATCAATTGTACACAAATGATATATTAATTTAGGAACATCGAAAATTTACTAAACAATGTAGATATTTATAGCAAAAAAAAAAGTGTACACGAGTAGCAGTCGTCGACTCGAGGTTACGCAGTGAACTGTGCTTGATTGTTTTAATGAAGCTCACTTCCATTGTGTGTCGCTCGGCGGCCCCAATCAACTTTGTATCAGCGATTACGCTATGCATAAAATACCACGCGGGATCGAACATTTGTAGGGGTGACTGGAGAGTTCATTCACACTTAAATAATGCATGCAGACTTAAGTACCTCACAAATCAATACTTTGATCTAAATAGAATATCTTTTCATTTTATCGTCGCCTTATTTACAATTAAATAAAAAAGCCCTTAGGTATCTGTTATCGAGTTATTGGTGAGAGATAACTTTTGTAAGGGCCGATCATAGGATGGGTGACCAAAAATGCACAATAGAGTCCCGGCGTATCTGCCAGTCGTTATTAACACCTACCAATCCCCACTGGGCCGAACGTAGTGGGTTACGGCCCGTCCTCCTTATTAGATAATTCCGTGCATAGGAATGGTTTGTGTATCAGCAGTGTGGATCTTGGATGTTGATGAAGATTGGTAACAGATGTTAATTGCATTTTTAAGAAGATTCAAAACTAACTTATGTATCTTGAGCCCGTTTGAAAAGCTAATAAAATAGGAATAACGTACCTAGGTAGGTACCTTTAAAAAAGATAACAGAATTTTGTGGATTACTGATATACTCAGTCACATATAAAATTAATTAAATTTGCTATCTTCAAATGGAAAAAAATGAAACTAAAACAGCTTTATTTTAAATATAAAATAAAAATAATTCATGAAACAGAAACAGGTCATTGGATTACACAAAACATTTATTTAAATGTATGTGGAAACGGCTGGTCTTGCATTGTGTAATTAATTTTAATTTAATTATTTAGGACTTTGTAACTTGATTATATAGGTTGAACGTCACAATTTCGATTGCTTTTTATAATCGAGAGAATTCACCTAATGCATATAAGTACCAAAACTAAAAATATCATGGATATGGACAAACAACACTAACAACATCTATGAAGGCGGGGCTTTCTTAACTGTGGGTCATCGGAACAGTGGTCCCTGGAAGCATACCAAGTGGTCCACAAAACCTCATAAAACTATTGCTATATAAGAATAATCAATAATTTAATGTTTATTATAATTAAAGATACCTAAATAAAATGTATAATAATACTTTACTTATTAAGACCCACATGGGTTTTTCTTCCACACCATGTCTTTTTTAGTATGCGAAAAAACAAAAATTAACGTTGTTTTTGAATGTGTCAAAACAAAGGGAATAACACAACAATATGTTTATTAAAGAATTTTATTACATTTCTACTTCATAACCATCAGTCATTTACAAAAGTATAATCTTATCTAGGTGTTGTACACATCAGTACTTGGGTTATAAAAACTAATAAAGGACCCCGCCCTTGCCTTATGGAAATTGGCTTTCTGTCAAATCGGATGAAACTATGATGAATGGATAGAGGAAGTCTTCCTGAGTAAAAGTCCTCATGGGCACTAAGCCCGAAAATCGAAACTTTTAGTACTTTTGGGCATTCGAAGTTTTTGATTTTGGATTCTAGCAAAATCAATAAATCCTTGTAGGGCCAACAAATAAGCATGGCTCGAGTGTTTGTCATTCAAAAGGCCATGAACACGCTTTTAAAGAACTTTTTCGCGAAAAACAGCTCTTTCCTCCGCCCCCGCGTGTGGTGGGTGGGTGAGTAAGTGGGGGGTCAATCGGGCACGGCTCAAGTGTTCCGTCAATCATGAGGCCATTATAACATTATAAAAGAACTTTTTCGCAAAAAACCGCTCCCCTTCCACCCCCGTAGGTGGGGGAGTGGGGGGGGGGTCAAATAGGGTGTCGTTCGAAAGGTCTTGAAAAAATATTCGATACGTATTTTTTCTTTTATGTCTAATTGAACTTTGGGCCGATTCTACAAGGATTTATTGATTTTGCTAGAATCCAAAATCAAAAACTTCGAATGCCCAAAAGTACTAAAAGTTTCGATTTTCGGGCTTAGTGCCCATGAGGACTTTTACTCAGGAAGACTTCCTCTATCCATTCATCATAGTTTCATCCGATTTGACAGAAAGCCAATTTCCATAAGGCAAGGGCGGGGTCCTTTCTGCAATCCATTCTGAACTCTATTTTAAAACCGCTAAGATTCGAATTGGAGAAATTTGTACGTTTTTTTAAAAACTGATGTGCTGATTGTACCTGATGTTACCATAACTAAAAATATTTTTACGTTAGCATATTCAGCACTATAGTTCAAGAAATCGAAATAAAATATAAAACCATACTCTTAAAATAATCTGGAATATTGGTATGTAATGATCAAAAAATTGCAAGTTGCTTTCCCGTAAAAAGGGACCATACTTTAAGCGTACTTAATACACACTCGATATTTTATTTTAAACTCTAATAGTAAGAAGGTCGATATACAGTTGTCTATGATAGAATCAATCACAATCCGCTATTCTTACCCTTCAACGAAATCAATACCCCACTTACCCCTTAAGGGATTTAGCGTTAAGGTATAAGACAAAAATTATTACTTAATGTTGTCACAACTTTTCAGAACCGACAAAAGATCACAGCAACACGTCAGGTTATCAATACCTATATGTCAAAGATCAAGGTTTTAAGGTCAAGGACAAGATTTAAAGGTTTTTTTATTAATCAAAACATTTGTTTAAACTGTTGAACTGTTGACTGTACATTTTTTAACCTCCTTGGTTAGTACTTCAGTCATTTTCAGTGTGAAATTAATTCACGACTCAGCAGAACCTCAAAGGTAGCGCCTAAAATATTATATTACATTCAATTAGATTAAAAAACGACATTGTGACTTGATTCGATTAGTGACGATAACTATTTTATACGGTAACGTCAAAATCGTGAATCACGCGCTTTTTTAAGTATGGAAACATAGAAAGAGACACATTGTAAGCTCCAACTAATATGGCAACTAACAGCCGTGTTATTCCATAAACACGTTACGAACATTGGAAAGCTGAAACCGCAGTGAGATTCAAATTCCGTATCCTGTATAACTGGAAAATGCGGATTAACATGAACAAAGTCTATTTTCTTAATTTAAAAATGGCATTAGCGACATGGGTATTTAGCCACGAACCGTCTCAATTTGATGTTTCGAGATCATATAATGTATAATGTCAAACTACTTTAATCAGATATATTAGTGTAGAATATGCTATTGATTCAGTATTCTGTATAAAAATACAAAAATAAAATTAATTGCTTGACATATATCTCAAGATATTCCATCCCAATGTCATATCGAAACTAATTTCACTTCACTTGTGCCATAGAGAATACCAATTCTGTATTATCTATACTTTATCGTTCTCCAAGTGAGTTGTGTCACCTGAGTGAATTCGAGTTCGGATTTCACGTAATCTCTGAAAATGTACCAATCCAACGATGACGAAATGATTGAAATCTATAGACTTATGTTAATAACCATAAGAAGTATAATACTACGTGTTAGCTTGGAAAAGCTCCAACTATGCCCATGCCCATTTCACTCACTCGCTGCAGGAGTCAGGCGCTCTATTTAAATCATTCCGATTGGTCGACATTTGTCGTGCTTCGATATTCAACCTTCTGTTCAGGCACATTAGTGAACCAAATTAGTTGTAACTTACTGAATTTAGATCTACAAACTTAGGTACTCTGCGCAGCTCTACAAATTCGTGTTTACAAGTTATTTCTTATTACTCACCATCTTCTAAACATACATCCATCTACAACATAAAATAACTTTGAAAAGGTAAAAATAGGTGTTCATTCTCCGGAATATCACCTTTCGCTTACATACGAACTAAAAGCAAGCTCACCATAATATTAATAGAAGATAGACGATATAAATGTTTCAAATAAATTTTATTGTTTCTGAGAACTTATGTGTTTTATTGTATAGTAGCCTTAAAATTATCTGATATATCATTTCACACCTTAATACTAAAAATACAAAAAAAACTTTTGTGTATAAAAAAATTGTGTACTCGTTAAATTGATCTGATTTTACTAACATTTTTTTTACTAGCATTAATACACAATTGTTCGAAAATCGAATTTAGTGCTTACATATCAGTAACTATTTCGAATAGGGATGATGACTGGGTAAAAAAAATGCAATTCTATTTAGTCCGTCAGTCAGATAATAGAAAAATATTAGATACGTATTTTTTTTTACTTCAATTTAACAAGAAATAGCTTAGATAACATGCATTAAAGTTGAGGAGTGGGGGGGGGGCTCGCTACGTCACAGTTGAGTAGAAAACGTACTCCAACGTGACGTCATGCGAAATTTCAACTCAACGTAACGCCGTAATTTTATCATTACGAAAAAAATAAAAACATATTTTTTTAACACTACCTGACGGACAAACAAAAATTAGTCATCATCCCTATTGACAGTGAGGGCACGAAGAGGTTCTTTTATATCCTCTGGCGAATTTTTTCAGGTTGCAGCAGCAAATGTGCTGCCGCCAGGTGTTCGCTCAGAGCTTCCAGATATTCTTTCTTATGGTACGTGTAGTGCTGCACGTGGGGAGACCGGTCCCAGCACTTCCAGGTGCACTAGACGAAAAAATAGAAATTATAAAAACGACACCAATTAAAAAATATGTATAAAAAGAAAAAATAATCTGTCTATCCTAGCTATCTCAATGTACCCAGTAATGTCAAAAATAGAGAGAGAAGAGGGCAAGTTGCATATCAAAAACTTTTTCCCTACAATAAAGTATAGTTACAAGAAAAAAAAGAGAAAATTTTGTATTTTTTTCCTACCAAGAAAACTTTATAAATTTGTGTTTTGTTCCTTTCAATGACTAAATCATATGTGCCTGACATATGATTTAGTCATTTCATATTTATACACAGATTTCTACATTCCCACTGAAAAATACAAAAGAAATTAGTATGGGGCGTAATTAGACCATGTTTTTATACAAAGACTAGAATTCCGCCAGCTGCTTAGCCTATGGTCATGTATTATACATATAAATATTCCTATTGAATCATCCTTTATATTGATGGAAACCCCATTAAAATCCATTGTGTAGATTAAAAGATCCTACAGCCTACAGACAGCGGGAAGCGACTTGTCTTATACTATGAATAGATTGGGAAATAGATCTGGTTTACCCCCCACCCCCACCCCTCCCTACATCCGGTCCTGGGGCCCAGCGTGCATATGATACGTACCTTGATGCCGAGCTCTGTCCAGCTGTTGTAGACGTTGCGGTTGCTGCGCTCGGCCCCCACCGGGTCACTCTTGGAGAGCAGGAACAATGCCGGGGCGCGGCACAGCGTCGTGTGGAACAGCTGCGACGAACGTATGTAGTGGATAGTGGCGGTCTCGTGGAACTTCTTCATGTGGTATCTGGTTTTATACCGAACAAATGTAAACACACTATATAGGAGTTCTTAGAAATAACACAGTCCCTGGCTACCTCTTCGGGCCTGGCCTTAACTGCTGCAGTGACGATATTGAACAAAATTTCGTAGATGATATAAATAATGTAATTTGTTTCATTATTTAAACCAAACCTTTTTTTTTTATTGATTTAAACCAAAATCAATAAAAAAGATATTATGTAGATTACTTAATGTTTATATTAGCCTTCAACTTTTTATATAATAATTCTCTCATCAACCGAAGCTCAGAAGACTTGATTAAGCTCTCAATATTCTCTTTCAGTGCTCTCATTTGAGACCGCACTCGAGTATATTTGCAGATATTCGGTTATTCTTCCCCACTTTAAGGCCCCAAATGCGTTTAAATGGCTTAAGCGATTTTCATTAAACATATCTAAGAACACTCGCACATAAGTCACCTTTAATAATAAAAAAACTAAATTGAAATCGCTTCATCCGTCCAACTTATACCCCTCTTTTTGCGTCGGGGGGAAATTATATTAACATGACAGTATTATTTTGCTTTAAACACATCACAAAGAGGTAGAGCTTCCAATTTCCAGTTTGTATATATAGGTTAATCTAATACTATATAGGCTATAATTTACACAGGCGGAGTCGCGTGAAAAAAGTTATAGATAATTAATAACTCACTCTATGTACGCTTTTAGAGTTTTCTGCATGATCTTGTTCTTGGGGAACACAGCCGCCGGCACACCGACGCTTAGTTCGCTGACATCCGCAGCCGAGTCCCATATCTGGGCCACCACCCTGTCCAACGCGGGTTGATAACTACAACAGAAATAAATACATGTAAAAATAAAAAAAGTTGCTTCCCGCTGTCTGTACGCTGAGATCTATTACGCCGAGATAAACTACACAGTGGATTTCAATGCGGTTTTCATAAATATCCAAAGTGTTTGAAGAGGAAGGTTCATATGTATAATACAGGACCACGTGGACGTAGATGCTAGCAGAAAGTTAGTATATCATAAATTGAGAATTTATACCAATACTGTAACAATAATAAGCAAGGACTTACAAGTTAACCTTTTAAGGGTTATTAGGTCAGTTGCACAAACTTCCATTAAGGTTTAAAGACACCTTTAAGCTCTAATGTATGTCAAATTTGTATGGGTAATGGCCCTTTAAACAAATGGCAATTTTAATGGACGTTTGTGCAACTGGCCGTATAAATCTTAAAAACATAATCGGTTAAATACCGGTGTAGACAGTATATGAAAATAAAAACATTTGTTTTTGTCACGTGACCGTAAACAGCACTCGATGTCACGCCCCTCTTATTCATATCAGAACTTAGGGAATTGAACCTTATGCATACATAGAACGATATTGGTTTTATAGAGTTTGTTAGTTGGTTTCATAGACACAAGTTATTATACGCCATGACAGAAGTTATTAAATGAATCATATTTTTATATGTATATATGTCATGTATATCTATAAAATAATAATTTATAAAAAAAAGGTGTAGACAACACCCCTATTGATTGGATTAGGTTAGATTTCCTATGCAAAAGTTCACCTTTAAATTGTAATTAAACAGACGTATTCATTACATAATAAAGGTTCTTTTACGTTTTCTGGAGAAATAAAAATTACAGAAATATAACTCCAAACCATCTCTTGCCAATCAATTGATTTTCTATCTCTTTCACTAGCTATATTTTTGGAATTAGGATAAAAATATATGGCCCCTATGCATTAAATATATGTGCATTGATAAGGAACAATAGACCATAAGCTGTATGTGATTATGACTCACAGTTCTTTGTTCTTCATGGTGTGGACGCATATCTCGCCCATCATGTACCCGGCGACAGAGAAACCGTGTACCATCAATGGCTGCCCGTTATCGTTCATTGCCATAAACTTTATGACGTCCTCCGCCACCAACTGCAGGAAACACAACATTGAAAAAATAAACAATAAGATTTAAGCCGAATTAACACTATGCTTCGATTGTATCGTGACACTAATTTCATCAAAACTATGCGCATCGCATGAAACTAATGCATGCATAGTGAAACAGTACGTTGACACGTGATACTGCTAGTAAAATTAATGCAATGGAACTATTTCAGTGAAGTGCACAAGCGCCCTATGACTGCACAAACGCCCCCACAAATTCACGGCAGAATTTTTAACTGTTATTTTTTTATTCAAATTCAAAAAAGGACATTCTAAATAATATTTTATCTGCAGATGACTGGATCTATATGGAAAAATATTTTTTTATTTAATGTAAACTTCCCAACTACTGACGATGGGATCCCAAAATTTAGGACAACTCTTAAGGTTATATTGAAGTTTAGTGTTTAATGTAGTTTCTAAAAACTACTCAAGTATTTATATCTGATGCAGATGATAGTGGCTAATTATTTCAATATTATTGGCTTATATTAAGAGTGTACACGGAATGGTAACATGTCATATTTTCGAAGATTATAAATTAATCTGATCTAAATCTGATGAATCTGACTCATATTCTGCAAATTTCTTCAGAAAAAATAATATATAAATCAGAATAAGCAATTTATAGGCAAATTGTTAATAAGACACGAATCTCGTTGTGCAAAGAACTCTTTAAAATTAATATTCGATGCCCTTGAAAGATTTTGTGCAAAGAAGCATTTTGGTTTTGTCATAATTAATTAATTTACCTGTGATCCTTTGGTGGGCCACATAAGTTGCCATGGAGTGCAGGACACGGAGACCACGTCGAAGCCCTGCTCCAGATATATAGAGGCGTACTTCATCACGTGTTTCTGTTTAGCTAGTAGCCAATTGATCATAACGCAGATCGGTTTGTTCGGCAATTTGTCCAATCTGTCAATAAGACAAACGGCACTTAACGCTCAGTTTCATTAGTTTCTGGAATTCATGAGATGTAGAAAGTATTGCAATCTACGGAATATTATTAATAAAATGTATAAATAAGAGGAGCGCGATGGCGCAATAATTAGCGCATTCGGCTTACGATTACGAACGTTAAACAATTTTTGCAAACTAAAATTTGCTGCCTTTTTCCATATGAATTGGTGTGCGGGCGGTACATGCATAGTAGCTATATATCATAGTTTTACGGTTATAATATTCTGATTATTTTGCTTATTACTCGAAGTAAAGGTGACATTGGTATGACGTCCACTGAACTTTGTTTGTTTAACTATACAACGCTTACATATCTTTGTGAAATATAAGTTAAATTGTTATATGGTACGAGGAAAAATGAGTATCAACAAGATGATCACAAGCCATATGTTACTAATATAGAACTATAAATAGACTGAATAAAGTAAAATTTATTCAATTTTCATCATCACGAGACACAAACACAAAGCTGAGAGAGAGAATTCGAATTAATACTAATATAATAAAAAGATAAAGTTTTTACCTTTTTTAGGGTTAATATTCGGGAAAACCAATCTGATCATGGAATTTTATCATGAATCCTACGTTAAGCTAGCTCATTCGCTGGTGTCATAGGCTTTAAATTACGAGGGAGGAACGGCTAGTTTTATGATAATTGTAAATTAACATAAAAGACTGAGAGCTCGTGACAAAAATGGACAAGAGTTTGAACCTTGACATTTCAGTATATTGAAGAACACTAAACAATTGCATTGTTGTAATATGTTGAGTGTTTTTTTTTTTTTATGAACTAACAACTATTGTATTTTTATGAACTAACTATTTTTTTTATGAAGATTATATGTTGTTAGTTCATAAAAAAAACACTCAATATATTACAATGACAATAAAAACAATTATCAATATCTGTACATAATAATCAACCTACTGACTATAGTCAGTGTAGAACAAAGCGTCCTTAAAATAATCATCAACTTCATTTCTTATGTACACACACTAATGTAACATAACATAAGGGGTCTTCCATAAATTACGTCACACGTTAAGGGGGAGGGAGGGGGTCGACGAAGTGTGACAACGTGTGACAAGGGGGCGGGAGGGTCCTACATTCCGTGACGTCACATTTCAAAATATATTATAATCTAAGTGTTAAAACACTAATTTTAAACTATTACTTTACAAAAACCTTGCAAAATATGTGACATCACACTAGGAGGGGGGAGTCTTACCTATGTAACCAGCTGTGACTAGGACGGGGGAGGGGCAAAAAAATTATGAAAATCGTGTGACGTAATTTATGGATGACCCGTAAGTATATTATTTACATGGTTGTAGACAACGGCAACGTATGCCGCCTTCGTTGTTAATTTATTTTTCCTTTCAAATTTGACACTTTTTTAAATAACAGCGGAGGCCGATAAAGTCAATCTGTCACAATAAAACGTTTGTCAAAGGAACGTCTGTTTTTTGTATTTTAGTAGCAATAGTCCACAGGACTTCACCTTCCGTCATTTATAATAATATTTTAATTTATTTACAGGTAGGTCAATTAAATTTTTTGAACTTTATTGAACATAGCAATGCTTCAGAAAACCAGAAATGATCTGGTTTTCTGAAGTCTGAAGGGCAAGTTTATTTTTATTTCTTGTGTTAAGATTATAAACACTACTCTTCTTTTTACTTTGCCGATTCTACTAACCTGCCTCACATTGGGTACCTACTGTATGCATTTCGTTTTATTTCAATTGAGCTTAAAATTACTATCATCAAACCAACGTAGAACATTGGACAGAGCACTATATACATCGTCAAAAGAATCACAGCCCTTCTTAGTTGCAAACAGTAAAAAGAATCTGCCAATAATGCTGTTTCGTTTAAATTATTCGGTGTGTGAAGGATCATTAATGTAAATCAGAAAGAGCAACGGTCCTAATATTGATCCTCGAGGCACGCCCATGGTGATGGGAGCCCGTGCAGATATCGCTTGATTAATTACAACTTTCTGAATTCTAGCAGAAAGATATGATTTCATCAGTATTCTGGGGTCACTCCTTTTTAGTTACATCAATGACCTCCCAAATGACCGACGTAACAAATTATGTGTTTTATGTGCTAAGATGTTTCGGTGATTGCTTCATATTTTAATTTAGATGTCTACAACCAAGAAATAAACACAATAGTAAAACTCATTATAAATTAAACATAATAACCTTACGGTAAGTGTAGAGGAAATGAAAAATTTAATAACACAAATTGCGTTTAATAACACAAATGGCGGATTCATAACAAAGGCTCTTTAGAAGTCTATCTGAAAAATTTGCTATTTTGTAACAAAATTTGCGTCTAACGCAAACTGGAGTAGAACACTGCACAGGTTTTGCGGTCCATCCATCCATCCATTTTGTTCCATCAAACAAAACCAACTCCAAAAGGTAATAATAACTACGGTGTATTCGAAGCTGAATACAGAATGAAAAAGTAGGTTAAAGACTCATCATCGTTCTAATTTTACAACGACACGTAATTGTGGGGCTGCACAGGAACCGGTGGAGGCAGATCGTCTGATCTGATGCTGACCGTGATCCGAAGACATAAGGGATCGACAATGAAAGAGAGGGGAACAAAATTAGTTTATGGCGTATTTAGACTGGTCGATGACACCCGCGTATAGCGTGCGTGCGATTTCTGTTCCTAGCATTCATTGGCCGGGGTCGCCCGCTCTACATTGGCAACTAGGGTTGCCAACCGTACTACATATAATAATTATTTAGTATTGTACCACACCCAATTAGGGGAACATAAAAAAGGTCGACATTTTCAATTTATATAGTTTCTATAATGTTTTGCAGTTATAAAATAATACTCTTAAAATATCTAAAAATTAAAGCAACGTTTTGGCAAGTCTTTAGAAAATATATTTGAATTACGAAAATTAGCAAAATAAAACATTTTTACGGTGAGATTTAAAATTTTATTTTTCCCTTTAATTACACAAAATTATTGAAATTTATAACGAGAATTGCCTCCGCGGGCTCTTAGCAAAGCTTGTATACGATTTTCCATGAGAAAATGAATAAGTCTGTAGATCATTTCTTGGGGTAAATTGTCCCACTCTTCGACCAAAACCAGTTTCAGTTCTTCAACATTCCTGGCAGCTGGATTTCGCTGTTCATAACTTTTCTTTTCCAAATATCCCAAGTGTGTTCTATTGAATTCATGTCCGGTGATCGCGCTGGCCAGTTCATTTGATTGATACCAATATCAGGGAGGTAGCTATTCACTATACTCGCAGTGTGAGGGCATGCATAAAAATGAAATTTCGGCATATAAATGGGGCAAAAGGCATGCCATGTGGTTCTAAGACCTCAGTTACGTATCGGTGCGCAGTGAGTGATCCATTTTCAATGAGCACTAACTCTGTGCGGGCTCCTAAACATATGTCACCCCATACCATTACTGACTCTCCCCCAAATGGCAACGTTTCCATAACAGTCTGGTTGTATCGTTCAACTCAATACTTCCACATACTTAACCTCCCATCCGCAAAATTTACACAAAAGCGGCTCTCATCGGTGAATAAAACACGACCCCACTCACTTGTCCAATCTCGGTGCTCAAGGGCGAAGGCTAATCTTGCTACCCGATGAGCTGCGTCGAGTTTCGGTGCATTTACTGGAACGTAAAACCTTAATCCAACTTCATTAATACGTCTTATAACCGTCCATTCACTGACATTTACGTTACGGACCTCAGCCAGTTGATTTCGGGTCTGAACAGCGTTTTGTCGACGATTTCTCAAAGTTTGCATGGTGATAAATCGATCTTCAACGGCACTTGTAGCCCGATTTCTGGCCTGTCCTCGACGGCGCGCGTAAGATCCCGTCTCCCTAAAGCGGCGAAGAATGCGGTACATAGTATTTAGGGCTTGCATAGTATATACTCTTGGAGAAATCGTATATGTATATTTGTACGCAAAAATATTATATTTTCAATACCGAAATATAACATATAAATTGCTTGTCTAATAACTTTTGATTAGTGTCACAGCTTAGATAGGTAGCCTATTTTAAGTCATTAACTTAATTAAGAGCTGGTAAGTTCAATTCACTCATTAAGAAAATAGTGAATCAATGAAGCATATGTGAATAAAAGATAATTTCCCGCCATTTCATAGTGATAAATTTCGCATTCACAATGCTATACTGAAAAATATTCATTATGAATAATGGTCAAAAAATTATAGTAAGTAAATGCCATCTCAGAGTACCTAAAACAAAAGTGGGTTTATTAATAATTTTTCATAAAGAGCTTTTGTTAATGTTCGATTCTATTCGAATTAGATAGTTGGTACTATGTAGGTATTTTTGTGGAGTACCTTTAACAGCAATTTTTTTTAAATACTATATTTAGCTGAAGAAATGTTGGCAACCCTATTGGCGACGTAAATGAAGCATAACGTACAATCATTATTTATCTACTGTATCACTGTTCACGTCTCGTATAGTTTCATGTAGTCGTGAGGACTGCACCGACTTGAAAACTTATATGACTACTCACTTCATAGTTTTGGGGTCGGCTGTGAGTTTCGTCTTCTCGTTGCTGATGTACTGGATGTTCTTAGTGAGCTCCTGGGTGTGAGCGTTGCGATCGAAACTGATCATGGCGACCGGCGCACACGTCAGAAGCGGCCGGAAACCACTCTGCAACCAAAATATAAATACGATGTCATTTGTCCTACAATAGAAATATTTAAGAATATAGAATGCATGCACATTCTATATTCTTAAAAAAGGAGACATTCTCAATTAAACTGTATTCTGGTTTTCACTATTATTTTTATATTCAAAAACTAGTGCTTGTTATGTAGTCACATACAAAGAACTAGTTCAGAATAGCAGTCTTGTACAAATAGCGTCTACTTCTTTGGCAGCTTTGACATGACATTTGGCATGTCAAACATATTATTTTAAACAAAACATTAAAATCAACAACTATCTATTATTTTATATTGCAAAACTACTGTAATACTGTGATTTGGGTGGACAGAGGGTTGTAAAATTATTTTCAATCGTTCAAAAATGAGGTAACTAAATTTCATTTAAAAATGTATTTTTTTTGGTTTGTCAGAATTCGTTTGACTCCTTTTTAGCTGCAATTTTACTGTAAAACAAGGAATTAGAGCGCCTTTAGCGATTTCATTAAATAATAGTAAAGTTGTGAAATAGAGATAACAGGGTAAAAAAGAATTTTTTTTTAGGTTAACAGTCTGATGGATGAAATGGTTTAAATAATAGGCTCTCAAGTTTATTAGTGGGGGCTTGCTACGAAATATGGATTTTACAATGATCAAAATGAGTATTATTCTGAGGACCGGATTTTTGTGTATCACTCACATTATACAATAACATTTTTGATACCTTGCAATGCTTATGTTTTTTTAAAGTAGGTAATTAATCTTAGTTGGAACTCATAATCACGTCAGAGTTTCTATTATAATATTAATTCGATGCAGTTGAATACAGCCCAACTAAAGCACCTAAGTGATAAAAGCAAACGTAAACATTATTTTTAGTCTACATGTACTTGTACAAATAATGATAATAATAACAAAAGTAATCAATCAGAATGTTATTTTACTTTAAAATATATACTTTAAAATAGTGTCAAATTTATTTTTCTAAGACTAAAATAGACTTCAAAAAACAGAAACTAACAGAAAGGTGGTTAACAAGACTACAGACAATCTGTTGTATGCATATGCAACGCTTATTTAACTCACAGATAAAACAATTACAAAACGAAATAACACAGAGCAAAGAATACTGAGCACTAAATTAATCGCAACAGGTATCAAATTTATCAAACACACGTTAGTAGACGACAACATCATTAATTTATATTTCCGTTAAATTATCAAAAACAAAAACGTCTGTGTACGAACAGATAAACCTTCTGCTGGACTGCAATATATAAAGAAAGAACTCAAAATCCTTTATCATCTATAACTAATATGATCTATCTAAACTTAAAGTCAAAATAACCTGCCATATGCGAGTCGGACTCGCGCACGAAAAGTTCGGTACCATTAGGTATGCATTAAAAAGTAAATATAAAATCACATTTGTTGTTTTTTAGAGGATTATTACTTGTAAATCCAACTTAAATGTGATAGTTTTCCTTCTAACTTAGTTTATATATAGGTACTACTGCTGTAACGTTTGAAGATTTACCAATGACCGTTTAATTAATAAAGGGGGGGGGAGGGGTACACTTGACTAACGAAAATTAGGTCTTTAAAGCAAAATAAGAGATATGTGATGTCGTTAATGAAGACAGGGTATGTATGAACTATGATCATTTTGGACATATCCGGTTTTAGCATAATACTTATTTTAAATTACTTTCTAACAATGAAAGTACGCTCAGTTTGCGTTATTATCGTCATACCTCTTCATTGCTAGACACTCACTATTTTATTGACCGTTTTCAATGCCAAAGTCTCGGTCAAGGTCTTTCCGATTAATATTATTGCGTCTCACGCAGCATCGCCGTGATAAGACCTTAATACCTGTGTATTATTGCGAATATTATATGGATATCATGGATTTTATATTTAAATTATACATCAGGTCATAAATAGGGTTGCCAATAGTTGACTCTATTATTAACTTTGGATTCGTGGGTACCACTATCAATCGAGCGGCTCAATCAAAAAAATCAACGGATGGACGGATCAATCAGAATTTGAGTTACACGATAGAATCACAATACAGACCGGGTGATGTTTTAGGGAATATAGTATACCTACTTCCAACCTTTGCCTTGCTCAGTTACTTTCAGTCAGAATTCAGAATTATAAGTTCGGCTCGATTGATTTGCTATCAGCCATATTATACGTTATGGGAATTTAATGAGAGATATGAAAGTAGTTGCGAGCATTTAATATAACATCAAGAGCATTATTCGAGTTCAATAAAGTAGAATGAAGTTTAACGAGTTACGCGAATGACCCACAGCCATTCTCTATGAACTATAATACTTTCGCAACTCAATGCAGTAATTGCAACCGGTCTATAAGCCGCGGCGGTGTCTGCTATATCTTCAAAAGTAACTACTGAACAACATCACAATATCTAAACACCAAATAATTAACAAAGATATCTACGCAACAGTCGACATTTCTCTTGAAAGGCCTTTAAAAAGAATTTACGGCTTCCAATCCCGCAGTTTGTTTTCAATCTCGTTATTTGCGGGATTCCGGATATAGAAAACATTAATATTTATATACGGTTTATTTTTAAGATTTAAAATTTGAATATGTGTATGATGAAATATAATAAATATGTGCAGTTACATTTTAAAATGTTCATAACTTGAAGTTGTCTCTATAAACACATACAATTGGTAAGCTCTTAGATCAATTAGACAGCAAGCTGCGTTCGTTCGAGACATTCATTCTTTAGATGTTTTAGGAAACAAGACAGAAGATAACATTTCCATTTATAATTCGCAATGCAAATATTAAAGACATTAAGATAAATTTTGGGTCAAATCATCAATAGTTTGGTAAATATTTTCATTTTATTACTTTAACCTGCACACATTTATTAAGTGTAACCGACAGAAAATGTTTTTTTTTATGTACTTATAAACTAACATTGTATGAGGCAAATAAAACACAGAATTAATCAACATTACTCCACATTAATTTTGGGTTTAAATATTGGCATGAGATATGGGATTAATCAAAGTAGAGCGTTTATTCGTCACTGAAAACTGAAATAAATAACTGAAAAAACAACAAATCTTTCCAAATCTATTACTACTAATTGAAAATGAAAATCAAAAATATTTTTAGCTACTAAAGTAACTTAGTATTTCTTAGTTTGATCTTATCTCAGTCAGTGCACTGTGCGTCACCAAGCAATCGCGCTCGTGAGAAGTGGTATGCATGTTTCTTTCCATTCCCAAAAATCTCGCGCCCGTAATCTCGCTACTCGGGATTAGAAAAAAGATGCTGGTTCCCGCAATACCGAGATCGGAGGCCCTAATAAGATTATACACTAAGCAAAATATTGCTGAAAATAGGTCATCGCGAAAAGACAAGTAGGTAATTGGAAAAGACGATCCATCTTAGAAATATTTGTCAATACCAAAGATTTTATAATACTGTCTAATAATGAGAGACCCAAAATTACACTGTGAAGAATTTAAAGAGTCACCTGACGCAGAGTATAACCAACTCGAAGCGTGGTGGATAAATATGTAGAAATTCCGCAATATTTAATCTTCTAGTACTTAATTATATTTTTCTACGTACTGAATGAATGACAATTGATGAATATTCATTTTGTAGCGCAGAGGGCATGGTCTTAACGTAATTGTTTTCGGGTAATAAAATTAGAAATAAATTCTGACACTGTATTTCGTTAGATATCCAATCATCCGTCTCTATCGTACTAGTCGGGCTTGCATTTCGTCTCGTTCACTCTTCTCATTTATACGCGTTTGAGCTTTTTGTGTAGGTATATTTTTTGTTCTTACCAGTTAGCAGTTTCAGGTGACCAAGTATAAAAAGGAATGCCATCATCAAAAATGGAGAAAAAACTAAAACAATCTGTGATGTAAGGGATATCTGAGTTTCATTCGCAGTATGTGATGATTTTACTTTTTATGTAGTTAAATTTATTTGGAATAAACTAAAAAAAGAAACAATTTCCTTTAATTTCATTAAAAACCTATATTTATTTATAAATCAATCAGAACAAACCTATTAAAAGTTCCAACTTTTTTTATAACATTTAGCTGGAACATTTTCAGTCTAAATTTAGAATGAACAACGATATTGCTTCTTTGTGGATCGCGTATGAACTTTGGACCGGAGTCATTGCGTTTTAATGCTGTAAGTAGATACGGAAATCGTGCACAAAGAACAACTGGAAAATAATTTAAATACTTCTTGCATAGCCAACCGATATTTATTTTTTGGGGACACCAGTGAAAATTACAATAATTCTCATATTTGATCTGTAGATACCATATAAATGGAGAAGTAAAACAAAAAACTACAGAATTCTATTAAAAGAGGCCACTGCCTTTTAGGGATGTTAAAAAATAATCGATTTTTATTTTAATCGATTATTATTTTAATATAATCGATTTTTTATAATCGATTTTCCATATCATATTAATCGATTTTTAACAAATCGATTAAATAAATTGCGCGGTTAAATCGATTTTCATAAATAGCATCATCTATGCGCCAAATGAAAAAACTCGAAGCATTATTACTTAAAAGTTGATTATATAAAAACGGCGCCATCTGTAGGTATGTAGGTATATATGATCGACATTAGAATAACATCGATGTTGACATCGATATCATCATCGTAAGTCCAACATCGATGTTTATCGAAAACTAAACATTTACATTCATGACGATTTTTTTTTTTATTATTATATTTAATTTTTTTGCGACAATAAGGTTGTCATTTTGTTGGGGTGCTCATTTTTATTATTATATAACGTTTAAAGATACTGAGAATTTCTATCAATAATGATATTTGGTTTTATTATTCCTTACCTTGAAAGTTTAAAAGAACGTTTGCTTTGATTTTTAGTTTTGAATTGTCAATTTTTTTATTCATATTATTTTTTTTTAATCTGATTAATTGTTAATATGAATCTTTTAGGTTTATTA